GGGGGGAAACACAGCGTAGCGTGTAAACCAGTGATCAGGTCCTCAGACATTTACATACTAATAACCTCGCTGCCAGTGAGTCACCAGTTAGGCGCCACACACACACACACACGCACACACACACACACACACACACACACACACACACAGTGTGCATGTACTGTTGCATCACTATGATGTTGTTGCCAGGGTCAGACTGGGTTTAAGCTCCGCCTCCTCAATCTGTCAACCCTGTGAGAGCAGTGGGTACATGCATTTGCGTGTGTGTGTGTGTGTGTGTGTGTGTGTGTGTGTGTGAGTGAGTCAGTCTTGTCTCGCCTTCTCCAGCTCATTTAAATTCAAGTCATATAAAAGCAGCTCCAGCTGAAAGTTGTATTGTGATCCTCGGCTCTGACCTCAGCCATCATTAATCAAAAGCGTCCCCCATGTATTATCTATCTGGTCACAATACATTCAAACATCCTCCAAAGTCCATCCGCTGCAGCATTCTCTTTTATTTCTGGTGCACTGAATCTATGACGCAAAGATGTTTTTGTTTGTTTTTTTGCAGTATGTTTACTGTTTGAAAGGTCACACAGCGACCCTTCAGATGCACGGAGAAGGAAAAGAATGAAAAATTGATTTTAACGAACGCTCTTTGAAGAAAGTGCAGCACTTCGGCTGAGCCGCAAAGGAGGATCTTCAAATGTCCCCGTGTTTACACGAGCGTAATATTTCTGCTGCTGCTGCCAGCGCTGCGAGTTTAGAGAATGTGGATTAGGCTGTTTACGACAGCTCACAGTTTATGACTGTGAAATGACAAAAAGTGAAATATGTATTCAAGATACCGAGAGATGTGAGAACGAGAGTCCTCTGGGCTTATGGCGCATATTTCAGCTTTTTGTTCTCTGGGTGCAAGTGTCCGATCCCTTGGTGTTTCTATCCATAAAGTGCTTTGATACATGATGACATATGATGCCCGACGGTGGAAAAACCTAGTAGAAGATATTTCAAAGAGAGGGAGTCAGCACTCACAGTGACACGCTGAAAGTGAACAGCAATAAAAAAAAATAGAAAACATTCTGTTATGTTTTAATCACCTAAAAGCCTTTCTGTGGAGGTGGGGGTGGAGTGGGAGGGGGGGGGGGTTCAGACACGGGAGGAAAATGAAAGAGGGAGGGAGAGATGCAGTTAAAGCCAAGATGGAAAATACTAATCTTTCTGTCCGACTTCCCTCGGTAGCATTCGTCTTCTTTTTTTATGTTTCCCTTCCCCCTCCAAAGAAACACCATCCATCTGACTGGTAGCTGCAATGCCTCCTCCTGTACCAGATACGTTGGTCATCTAACAGCAAAACACAACCGTCTAAAAAAATGTAAAGAAAACGTGACGAAGAATGAGTTGGACCACAAACATCGCTCACACACGTAGATTCAACAATGTAGAAACACACGGGGGTGTAATCCGCTGCTGTGTCGGTTCCTTCTTTGAGATGTTTCCATTTTTCTTTAACCTCTCTTGCATCCTCCGTTCCCTCACTCCCTTGCTCCCTTCCTATTCTCTTTATGAGCCTGTCAAGCTGTTCCCATGACAACGGCGACTGCTAGCTGTCAGCAGTTGCCATAGCAATGAGACACGATCTATCCGCGAGGGTGAACGGACGCATTTGGACCATTTTGTTCAGTGTCGTTTGCATGAGTGCGTGTGTGATGTTATTTCTTATCTTCGCACCTGCAGGACCAAACTATGTCCTATTGAGCTCATGAACCTGTGAATTCATCCACTCGTCTGTTTAAAGCGACACACACACACACACACACACACACACACACACACACACACACACAGCTTATTATCTTTGTCTTTTCTTAAGAATTTAAAACGAGCAAATATTCTGCCAGTAGTCTCCTTTGCACTGGTTTGAGCATCAATTAGCAAATTAATTCGTCTGTTTTAATCTAGACATCCTTTTCAGAAAATGCACTTTGTGGCGATGAACATATTGTGCTGTGAAGAAAGTCCTTCTGTGCTCGGATAAGTACGAGAAAAATGAATTAGAAACTAGACGTTTCTCCAACATCTCTCACTAGACCTCTCTTGAGAAGACGCTGGACCACCCACCCCCAAGCAGTGCAATGATAGGTTTAATTTAAAAAAGATTTTCTGGTTACGCAATGACTTAGGAGATAAAAATAAATAAGAGGATAAGTTACAGTTAATGTAAAATAATTAGGAGCAGTGGTGGCTTAACGACAAAACCTTTTCATGTTGAAACAAACATTGGACCGTCCCTTTAATTTGTCCTCGACTCTGAGCGCCGCCTCAGTACTCGGGTCAGGGCTGCACTTCAGCAGGTGGACGCGTCAACAAGATGAGTAGTGTCAGATGACTGGATCAATAAACATATGAGCAAACCTGTGTGCTCTTCCTTAGACTGACACACACACACACACACACCCATACACACACACACACACACACACACACACACACACACACACACACACA